AAAGGAAGATGTTTAAGGCTGTAGAATAGATTCTTTTGAGAATCCTTTCCTTTGGTCAGGCTACACTACACCATCACAACAATTATTGTTAATATAATTAAGTTTTCATTTCTTTAGAGAAAAAAACTCTTATGTATCTATTTATTGATGGTAAGTAGCATTACAGGCGCTCGACTTGATTGGACCAGTTTACAGAATGATGGATTCTTTTGTCGGTGTTCGAGAGAAAACCAGTGTTCTTTTTGCTTATGGCCTCTTACTGATGAAGCAACATGATTTACAAGAAGCAAGGTACTTTCTTTCATTAGATAGGAGAATACAACAAAGTTTTTAATCATAGTCTTAAAAAATCACCCTGTCTTCACATTTATTTAATTAATATCAATGATTTGTTAAAGTTCTTCCTTCTTTAACCATTTCTTGTATATTTTCTTACCTATTGTCTCTTCTGTTGTAAATTGTTGTCATACTCATATCTTATCAATGGATTAGGTTCTAGTTAAAGTTAAGATGGTTGTGGCAAAACATTACTTAGGTACATGGTACTATAATTTGGGGCAAAATATGTTTTCGGGCTTATGTTTATTTGGTCCTTGGGTTTCGAAAAGTACGCTTTGATGAGATCCTTGGGTTGCAAAAGGTACACTGTAACAGTACAAGTCCACCGCTAGTAGATATTGTCCTTGAGGGTTATGGTTCATGACTCAAATAGATCATTATAGTTAATTTGGGACCTAGGACCGCCTTATGACCCCTTTTCAAACCTTAAGGACTAAAACGTATCTTTTGAAGTCGAGCTTTGTTTCCCAACAATGGCTAGTAAACCTGATCAAAATAACTCAATATTTTTCTTAGGCTCAAAGTAGGCATACAAAAACTATATGTCACCATCTTAGAAATAAAACCAGCCTCACCTACCATATTCCACAATGGGTAGCTAAATATTATGTCGTTCATGTTGGGAAAGAAGCATGCTCGTCGTTAGCTAATGGCGTTTTTTTCTCCCTTCTTCCACAGAAATCGATTGGCGAAAGGATTACAATTGACCCACAATCATTTGGGGAATCTTCAACTCGTTGCACAATATTTGACGATTCTCGGGAGCTTGGCACTTGCTCTACATGACACTGTGCAAGCCAGAGAGATATTGAGATCATCTTTAACATTGGCAAAGAAGCTTTATGACATCCCAACTCAGATCTGGGTGCTATCAGTTCTAACAAGTATGCATATCAATATATCCTTCCTAGTTACTATGAACATTTTTTCTGCATTTTTCTGCATTTTTCTGCATGAACATTCTATTACATTAATACACATACAAATTTACCTTTTTTTCTTCATATATTTATAGCTTTATACCAAGAATTGGGTGAAAAGGGAAATGAGATGGAGAACGCAGAATATCAATCTAAAAAGGCAGATGATCTGCAAAAGAGACTCGTTGATGCTCATTCATCCATTCATCACATCGATTTAGTAAGCCATTCATGTCGCTCTAATCGATTGATGAATTGTCTGTGCGTTTGAACGGATATATCTTCAATGATATGCACCTTCTAATTATTGCTTTGTATGAATGATACCCCTTTGTGTATACAGATTGAAAAAGTACGGCGTGAAATTCAGCAACTTAAGGAGGTCGATATGAAGCGTGCAATAGGTGGCCCGTCGCTTGGGGTTAATCTTGATATCCCAGAATCCATTGGGGTATCAGTTTCATTGCCTACGTCGTCGTTGAAGCTTATGGATATGGACACAGGGAGACGTGGGAAGAGGAAACTTTAGGGCTGCCTTCGGTCGTTCTTCCAATTAGCCTCTTGTTGTAAGAACTGGTTGATTGACTTGTAAATATTAAATTTATTGCCCACTTTAAATTATTGTCCTTTAAAAAAAAAAAAAAAAAAAAAAAAAAAAAAAAAAAAAAAAAAAAAAAAAAAACAACTAGGAGTACAGAAACCATTTGAAGCCATGGAACCGAACCCGGTTCGGTTTTTTTCTTTTTCTTTTCAAGGCATTTTCTCTCTCAATTTAAGCATTTAAGCATTTAAGAATACTTTAATTATAATTAAAAAAAAAAAAAAAAAACAACTAGGAGTACAGAAACCATTTGAAGCCATGGAACCGAACCCGGTTCGGTTTTTTTCTTTTTCTTTTCAAGGCATTTTCTCTCTCAATTTAAGCATTTAAGCATTTAAGAATACTTTAATTATAATTAAAAAAAAAAAAAAAAAACAACTAGGAGTACAGAAACCATTTGAAGCCATGGAACCGAACCCGGTTCGGTTTTTTTCTTTTTCTTTTCAAGGCATTTTCTCTCTCAATTTAAGCATTTAAGCATTTAAGAATACTTTAATTATAATTAAAAAAAAAAAAAAAAAACAACTAGGAGTACAGAAACCATTTGAAGCCATGGAACCGAACCCGGTTCGGTTTTTTTCTTTTTCTTTTCAAGGCATTTTCTCTCTCAATTTAAGCATTTAAGCATTTAAGAATACTTTAATTATAATTAAAAAAAAAAAAAAAAAAGCTGAACCAGAGAAATTACTGGATGATCCTTGCAAAGATGTCTAAAAATCTAAATTAATAAAAATTAAAATACCTTTAAAATATTTTTAAACATTTAAAAATTTCAAAAATATTTAATTTTGGATGGTAAAAAAAAAAAAAAAACTTGAAATACATCCTTTAATTTTAAAAAATATTTAAAAATTTTCATTAATACCTTATTTTAAAAACTTAATAAACACAACTTTTTAAAAAATTCAAAACTCATATACTTTAAAAATAAATTAAAAATGTTAGAAATTTTGAAAATAATCTATGAGGTGTCGATCAGAATTATTTTGTTATAAAAGTAAGAGTGGTCAATGCTATTCTTATAGTTTCATTGTATTTTTTAAGCATAGTACTAATTGCATAGGTATTTTTAAACTTTCCAAACACGTTAGAATTAATTTAACTTTTTAAAATTTAAGAGTGTTTTTTAAATATTATTAAAAATTTAAGGATACTCAAGAGAAAATTCCAACAATTTTCCTCCTAAACTAATTATGGTGTATTTTTTAGATTTTTTTTAAAGTTTTATTGAAAATTTTGAAAATTTAGACATATTTTAAACAAATTGCAAAGTTTAAAAATATTGTGCTTACGACTTGGGTAGATTTTTCACTTTTAACTCAACAAAAAAGATGGCTTGGGAAAATGGAGCATATTAAGGAGAGAGGGGAAGTTGCCATAATAGAGAGTACGGGCACCTCATGCATTACTATATGTTTACATGCATCGGAATACTTCTACATTATGATGAGTACGAATATGTACACTATGAGATTGATTATGACCATCATGTTCACTATGATGATACAGCGACCGTCAGCGAGTGCTAGCCCGATCAACAGGCCTAGAGGGTGTGTAAGTATACATGGTGGTCCATGTTCACACTTGTGGATCGTGTGTAGAGAAGTACTATACATCCATTTTAACCTGGATTGAAAAGTCACACCTATGAGAATGAAATGATGTTTTAAATGATAGGTCTCACCATGTTGCATATGTTTGCATTTCACGACCCCAAATAGTGGGATCACTTATTGAGTATTTCTTAAAATACTCAACCATTTGCTACTCTTACATTTCAGATAAAGGCAAATTACCCATGTACGGATGACGGAAGTGATGCATAAAGACCATAGAACCGATGTTAGGGTAGTTGCATTTCATCTTAGTCTTAGGTTAGATCAACTCAATGTGTTGTCTTCTAGTTTATGAACATATTGTTTATTCTCATTTCTTATATGTTTTTTAATTGGTTTACGAATTTTATTTGTAACGTGTAAATTCATGGCGTCGTCTATGAACTATTTAAAATGGAAACATAAAAAGGTCACGTCATGCTTATGATAAAAGACTCTATTTAAATAGGATAAATAAATCTCTTTCAATTTAAATAAAATATTTTTATATTAGTTATTAATATTGCCCGCCATAATTAATTTTATGATCTATCTTGGTATTATTTTTTAATTTTATGATCTATCCTGATATTTTACTTACTCATAGAGTAATGAATTGGTTACAATTCTCGCACATTGTTGTAACAATATTGATAAAAAAAATTATTTGTTTAAATAATTATGGATTGATTTATGTTTGTTGTAAGGACTCCGATTAATTTTATTTTTATTATTTTTTAATTTGATGATATATCCTTGTATTTTACTTTTGGATTGATTTATGTTTGTTGTAACGACCCAGATTAATTTTATTGATAAAAAAAATATATTATTTGTTTAAATAATTATTGATAAAAAAAAATATTTGTTTAAATAATTATGGATTGATTTATGTTTGTTGTAACCAGTCAGATACACTACTTTAACAATTTATTTGTCCTCTTTCTGCTTTCTCTTCCCTGCTTCCCCTCAAGGCTTTAAAACGTGTTTACTAGAGACCGCTCCCAAATCCACCCCCTTTTGGAGTCAGCGTCCTTATTGGCACACCGCCTCGTATCTACTCCTTCGGGAAGCACATCGTCTGATGTCTGGCTCTGATACCATTTGTAACAACGAAGAGACGCATTTTAAAGCCAAAGCCTCTGAAACGGAAAGCCCAAAGAAGACAATATCTCCCGGGTGGATCTGGGTAGTTAACATTTTTTTTAATATGTGGATTGTGGATAAATAAAAGTTTTTTAAAAAAATTAATATTTTTATTACCCTGTAACCCGAAAATATAGGGTTGATTTAGTCCAAAAAATTTCTTCAAACTCAATCTCAAACAATGGGGATATTAAATGAATGGAATTGGGATAAAAAAAATGGAATAAATGATCAAAAGTGTTGATTTGACCAAAATAGATGAAGAACAATATCCATAAATGAGAGCAAAAAGAAAGCAATGTGGAAAATGGTTGCAACTAAAATGAGGATTCAAAATTAAGGCTTCCTCTTCATTGATTGATGAAGCTTCCAATAAGAACATGGAAGTGTAGTGTCAAAAAGTGCAGAGGAAAGCCATAAATTTCTCTATTAACTAACAAACAAAAAAAAAATAGTACAATATAACTCACATTGTTAATCAAACTGTAAAAGAATCGAAAAAAGAAGGCAGAGAATTAGAGATCGATTGATGAATGGAAGAAAGAAAGACAGAAAGAAATTGTTCTAGCTGAGAAGAATCATAGCTGTTTCGTGTTCAATCACCTGGTAGGAAACATTGTAATACTACACGGCGGCTCCTTGACGCGATAAAGAAGAAGATATTGCTGAAAATTACAGGTCACATGGATCGGCACCTTGTTGAGCTTGAATATCCCAAGATGAAATCCAACCGAACCAACCATCGTGATCTTCACAACCACTTGAGCCTTTTTTCTGTCATCTTCAAGCAGCGATATACTGTCTCGATCTATTGAATCTCGATCCACATTCAGCGTTACATTTAGCGATGTGGTGTTTCCAGGTTCTTGAGAGAAACTAGGTATCACATTCCTGCCTAATTCGATGTTTTCTGATACTAATTTCATATTAAGATCGCTATAACTCAACTCCAATTTCTCGTTCTTGTTCTTTATATCGATCGCCATACGTACCTTTGTGTTTAGGACAGCGACATTTTGATTTGTGGAGTTTTGAATCTGGATTTTGGAGAGATCGAGCATTTTGACGGTGATTTCAGGCAAACCGGATTGGAGGAATGACACGAAGATTACGCCGAGGATGAGAAGAGTGATGGCGATTCCGAACACGGCGAGGCAAATCCAAGCGCAGAAGGCGAGCAGATGGGAGAAGACGAATTTGGTGGCGCGGAGGGATGTGGAGCGGTGTTTGGGGAGGGAATCGGAGAAGGCGACGCGACGGGCTCCTTTGTCAGTGCTTGGAACTCGATCGAGTTGAATGGCGACATGATTGTTATCAGTCATTGTTCAAATTGGAAGATGAAGATGAAGATGAAGATGAAGAATCTCTCGGGAATTCTGAATCTGAATTTGTTTGAGCACTGGGAATGATGTTCATGGAGCGAAGAAGGGGCAAGTTATTGTGTCGTCAAAACATGAAACTTGGACAGTTTGAACTATCCATTTATGGTAAATTGATGTTAGTTGAAATCTACTAGTTTGACGGTTTTTTTTTTTTTTTTTTTTTGAAACAGTAACCACCATGTTTTACGCCTGTGTTTCTGTCCTCGTTTAGGCTCACATAAGTGGGAGATATATGAATGAAGGTTTAGGCTCACATAAGTCGGAGATATATGAATAAATCTAAACTATTTGAGACTGATAGTGGTAATATGATAGTTAAGAAAAGCTTGAAATTCGTTAATTACTGCTCATACTAGCTTGTTTACGCCCAAAGGGAGATATATGAATGAATTGAAACTATATTGAGAATGATAGTGAGAATATGATAGTTAAGAAAACCTTGAAATTCATTAATTACTGCTCATACTAACGAGATGTAATTTTCTTTTCAATGGTTTAATCATAGAAACTTCAAATTTAAGTGTGTTTGACTTTTAACGATTCTATGTTAGCATGTGAATGAGGACAAAATATGTTAAAAGAACTCATGTTGGTGTTCGAGGATTATTAGGAGTGAGTCCCACCTAGGTTAATTTAATGTAAGATCATGGATTTATAAGGAATACTATCTCTATTGGAATGAGACCTTTTTGGACCAAAGCAAATGTATGAGAGCATATCATACCATTGTGGAGATCCATGATTCCTTATTGGAATGAGGCCTTTTTGGAAAACTTAAAGCAAAGGCATCAGAGTTTATGCTCAAAGTGGACAATATCATACCATTACGAAGATCCATGATTCCTAACAGTTAGTCATGTCACATGCCCATTTTACATTTCTTTAAGACATAAAATATTTTCCCTCGTTCGAATAAAAAGATAGGTACATGAATAAACTTGAGTAACGTGGTCACGCCGCATGCCCATTTTACATTATTATAAGCCATAATACATAGATAGATTTATACCTGAAAAGTAACGCTCAAGTAAAATGATATGTATAATAAGAATGAACAAAGACCACATTAAAAACGATCCAGAAGATATGATAGTTAAAACAAAAACATTTAAAATGATCGATAATTACTATATATACCAATAATACGTACTATCGACAAATTTTTAATAGAATAATTATTCGTCCTAGTGTATATCCTTGGTAAGCACAGATTTCTTTTTCCGTCAATTACTTGTAACTTCTTCTCCCACGCATTCTATAGACTATGTCAACGTGTGAAATATTTAATATCTACATAAATAATTCAGTTCTTCTCAGTCTAATAATTATAATATTGCATTCTGAGTACAAAAGCTAATGCAGTCTAATTCAGTCCAGTGAACTTCTCCAATATACCTCAATCAAGCAAGCAACAATTTGCTATTTAAGAGGTTGCACCTTTTCCTTCCAGACATGTCTTCTCTAAACAATCAAAATGGCAATCACAATTCATCTTCAATCCCTGAGAGAAGAGAGGGAAAAAAGAGATGGACACATAATATACTTCTTTAAACAATAGAATAGAAAGAAGAAGTTACATATATGAGGTTTTCTACTCGGAACCATTTAGGAGTGTGGTCCATGGCTTGTGGAAGAGTGAGATTGGAAGCATCTGGTTCTTAAATGAGAGAGAATGAAAAAGAAACTATGAAGAACGAAGGCTTTGATTTGTCAAAGGTGCAGCAAAGATGGATGAGAGGAAAAAGGAAGGCTACTGTCCAGAAGTGAAGGAGAGAAGCCTTTTCAAATGTTCAAGATGCATTTTAAGGTTCAGTTCTTGCAGGGAACCCAAAAACAAGGAGGTGTAATGAAGTGCTTTACCTATTTTTTCTTTTTAACAAGATACAAACCTTTAATTCATGTAATGAAAACATTATTACAACAAACCTTGCAGTAATCGAAATAACACTATGGTCATGGAGAAACGATTCTTGTGTAAGATAACTCCATGAGAGGGAATGAACCAAACATGATTAAAACAAATTATTTATAGAAGACTGTTCATCACCACAAAAGAAGTTTCTTTCTAATCAAACAAGTCGTAGTAAAGCTTTAACTGCACAACTCTAAAGGATTTCAGCTTTGCTTTCAATCATACCAACAAAAGAACTTCACCAAAATAAGCTTCAATGCTCTTAGTTTTAGGAAGGCAAAGAGACGTACCAAAATGTCCGTGAAGAACAACCCTCTGGCCGCAAAGCGATGGTCGAAGTTTGCCTCTCTGAATTTAAGCTCCTGCTAAAGGAAAATTTAAACCTTCTTTGGTAGTTTGCTTTCCCAAACAAGGTTCACATGGAGAGGATTGACGCTGGAACAGCTGTGGTTACAAAATAGATATTAAAAAAGAACAATAATTAACATGAACATTCTGAGAGTTTACAAGAACAAAATATATAAGTGATTTTTGTAAGACTTCCAAACCAGCATATAACCTATATTAAAATTTAAAAATAAAAAATAAGAAAAGAATGCTACAACAATACATAATCAGAACATAAGCTCATTTTATCTCCATTTAGGTATTTACATCTTCCAAATTGGACAAGGAAGACCCTATTTGATTTACAAAGCCTCCCAAAACCATTCAACGTTGAAGGAATTCATCATTCGGCGAATTAGAGCCAAAATTCTTGTACTAACTGGACGCCTCCTCATCGGAATCAGATTGACTATCAAAGTTGATATTGTAAGTTTCATTTGCAGCCTTCTCCATGTTGAGGCTGTCTGCCTGTAAACTATCTTTCAAGTCATCCAGAATGAAAGGTTCAATTAGTTTCCAGAACCATGTGGCGTTGCTTCCAAGTAAGCCTATCCAATACACCCTGCCCTTCCTTTTGACCTTGCAAGACATGGACTTTTCTCTCAGAGATTTAACAATCTTCGCAACACCCTCACGACTTCCCTTTAGCTTCAGTACGAAATCTCCTGACGATATCCTGCAGCCTCCATACATATACCAGTATGCAAGAACACGAGGTGAAAGCCACCGGTGAATTAGATTAGGGATTACAGGATGGCCTCGTGGCCAAAACTGATCGGCGTAGAAACCAAAATATGAATGTGAAACGGTGCAGAATTTATATGGTATATCTGTATCACTATCGCTTAACTTTGAAGCAGGATGTAACCACTCATGATATTGCTCATGTATGTGTCTCCTCAAACGAGAGTGGGTGCTACAATCTTCGTGGAATTCAAATTGGATCCTATGATTCTTCCTCCCTTCATCAGATTCGATCTCCAGGCCACCTAATAACAACCCTACTAAAATCTCCCTTTGTTCTTTACTCAACTTCAAGCTTACTGGCTTCTTAATCTCCTTCCTACTCAAGCTTAGGACATAATCAAGTTTCTCCATTAATGGAGGATCAATGTCGTACTTTTTCTGACACATCAAGTCATATATTTTTTCAGCCTTCAAATAATCCCCACTTAACAGGTACCCACTTAAAATAATGTTGCATGAACGAGCACTTACACCAATTTCTCCATTTGTTTGCATCTGACTAAATATTTCTTCAGCCCTGTCGAGATTACCAACTTTTACCAAAGAGTTCAAATATATGCTGTAAATAGTACGATTTGGTTTACACTTCTCAAGGCACTGGGAGAAGGTTAACTCTAACTTATCATGTAAGCTTAAATTGAAAAACATATTCATCAAATCAACATAAGCTGGCTTGAGGGGCTTTAAATTACTCTTTATGAAGCCTTCCATGACGGATTCTGCTAGTGTTACCTCTTCAAATTTACATAAAATCCCAATAATTGTCTGATATGCTGCAGCACTTATAGAGTTCAACTGCTCCATCTCCCTAAATATCTCGAAAGCTTTCATCGGATTACCCACCTTTGCATATACTTCCATTTTGTAAACAAAAGCCTGGGATGGCATGCTACCATCAAAAGACTTAAGTTTAAGCCACGATCTCTCTGCTTCCATCACATCCCCCAATTTCGAGCTCGCTCTCAAGATGGATACAAGGACTTCTCTTTCTTCCTCAATTCCTGCTTGATGCATTTCTTTCCTTAGTGACATTATCCTTTCTTTGTCTACAGTATCCTGATAACTATGTAGCCAAATTAGACCACCATATATATCCTTATGCAACTCAAGTCCAGTTGTTGCCAGATTGTGATATATGAACTCAGCCTGTTTAAGATGATGCTTTGACAAATCCCCTGGTTTGCTCACCAGAGCTTTAAAGAGAGAATTGTGCAAGCTAAGACGTGGTTGGTAACCTCCTAACTGAATCATACGATTGTAAATGGTACTTGATTCCTCTATGCATCCTTGGATAGGTGCACTAAGGTAGGCAACAATCAATATATGAAATGTGGATTCACTTGGCACACATCCCTGATTAATTATATCATCAAATACTTCCCGACACTTCGAGAACTTCCGTTCCTTGCCCATGTAATCAGCAAGCTTAGTAGCTAAAGCATAATCAAATCGGTACCAATGTTGTTGCATCATCCACTTGTACACCTAATCTCAAAAATGAAGAAAATTAAGAAATGGGAAGAAAACAATATCACAAACATAGATTCTAAAGAACAAAGCACAACAATATTGCAGAAATTGCACACTTCCAAATAACTTTCCTATCATTCAATAAACCAATAATTGCATTCCAAGTAGCTATACTTATACGAACGTGTATTTTGCGGGTGTTATAGTAGAACATAATAGAATCAAAACGAAAACTAACCCTAAAAGCAGTCTCATTTTCGCGAATACGCAAACAATGCACGATGAGATAGGCCGCGTCATCCTGCTTCATCCATTTCCTCTGAGCATTAAGCAGCCGTATCAATGTTCCCGGCTTCTGTGCTGGCAATTCTTTACAAAGCCAAGCCAATTTGGATCTACGCCATTGCTCCGGCAACTCATCCAGCTCCTTGACTTCAAGCGCAGGCGCTCCCAAGTGTTTCAAATCCGCCGACGCAAACCCCTCAGCGCCAGTACTGTATGGAGAACACAAAGGCTCTTCAGATTCGGCCGGGGAATCCCGGTCATACACCAACGCTTCAACGGAAGAACTGGAAGCAAAGGCAGGAATTCTCGGAAGTTGTCGTCGTCCTTTCGCTGAATATGTTGGGATACAGAGAGAACGGATGACGTAGTTCCGGCAACGGAAGTGGTGGTGGCATTGAGAGAAGGGAAGAGTGAGAGAGCGGAGAAGGGTGACGGTGGCGAAGGCAGAGGTTCGAATGGACATGGAGGAACTCGAAGTAGAGTTCAGAAGAACTGTCGATGATGAAACCTTAGGCTTAGGGTTTACGAGATTCATCTTTACAGAGACGGCAACCAAGTGGAAACTCGAAAGTTTTACGTCAAAGATGAACCGGAAAAACCAAACCCTTCTTCGGTTCAGTTCAGCCGGATCAATCCGGTTTTGTCTCCATGTAAGAGGAGGCCACGCCGTGCAGTGAAGTGCCGAATCAATTCGGTTTCCTAAGAATCGGGCCGAAATCCAACCGAACTTATCGACTTTTTTTCAAATGTTAAACCGATTTAACTAATAAACCGGACCAAACGGCCCGGGGTTTCTCTCTTAATCGATTTTTCATTAATTATTTGTATTTTTATTTTGAATATACTTAATTAGTTAATTAATTATTTGATCTTCCTCTACCAAAATTAATATAGTTAATTATATTAATTAGAATATATGGTAATGATTTATTACTTATTTACTAAAATTATTAATTTAATTACGGTATGAAATTTAAATATTAAATATTTACAAGTTACAATGCATCACTAATATTGATTACAAACGGATTATGATAAGGAAATCAACTGCAAGAGGAGTAAGATTCGAATTACCTTGTTTGAGATTCAAATCACTCCACAGCAAGATCGATCATGTCTAGCTTGAAGGATTCTTGTTGATCAAATATCTCAATGCAAGAACACTTGTTTGAAATTTGAATCACTCCACAAGCAATATTGATTATGTCGAGCTTGAATGATTCAACATAAACTACATAGAATTGCAAAGAAACTTAGCCATGGGCTAAAGAAAAGCACAAATGCTTCTTTTACTATATTTTCCAAGTCTACGTAACAATACAACGTAAGTGGCTTTATATACCCTCAAAATGAAACTACTAAGACATTCCATGGTAACATACATTGGCCATAATTAACCATCATGTAATTGTAACCTAAAGTAAATTAAAAGTCTTAAAATACAATAATGAAATATAATAACTCTAAATTACTCTAAATTGTAGTCCACCAAAAATTTATAACAATCAAACTTTATTCTTCGTCAATGTGTCATGAATTGCAACATCATAATTTTGACAACATTTTCTTCACATCGAAGTATATTGTATGATTGATGTCTCTTGGGTCATATCCCAAATGTTAAATAATTAACTTTTTAAAAAGTAGGGTTGGGTTGTAATCTTATTTTCGAGTTAACCCGACTAAAAAAAATCTCAATTGATGTTATATTATAAATTAATATTTCAAATATAATAAAGTTTTGTTTCCATTAAAGAAGATATTTTTCTTTTTCTTTTTCATTTAGTATCTCATTTAGATAAGTAGGGACATTAAGGATTTTTTAAAATTATCATAATATAAAAAATTTTGTTTTTAATTTATTTATATATATATATATATATATATATAATATAAATATAATATAATATAAAAAGAGAGGGAGAGAATGTTCTCCACCACCAAAAGAATGAACAAATAACCCCTCTTATGAAGGTCTGTAGATTTGACCACGCATCGAGAATATAATGACTCATTCAACCAGAATTGTTCATAGTTTGGCTAGGAATTCTCAAAGTTCATTGGATCAAAGCAAGAGAATCATTAAAGCAGATCCCAAGAAGAAGAGATTGATAAAATAACAGGAATCTTACTAAACCGTGGCTTTTAATTGCTACAATTTGTATAGTTCACAACACACATTCGAAACATGAACTTGAAAAGAAGCAGAAGGAATCAGCTTTATACAAACGAACAGTAAGCAGAATCAAAGATGAAGAAATCAATCTCACAAATAAGCATAAACGGATTTGTCTTTCCCTAAACAGCATGGGGAATATGTATAATATATATATAGAGAGAGATGATTTAGGATATAGAGAACCTTCTTCTTCTGGGCTTGGTAATGTCGACGCCGTCGTCTATGTTAGAAGTGTCCTTGGAGCCATGGCGGAAGGGGTTTAGTTTCCCGAGCGTTTTGGATACAGAGGAGAAGAAGGTGCCCTTGCTTCTGGAGGGTGCCTTCATGGAAGATGTTCCATGAGAATTCTTCTGCATATCGGATATGTAGAGCTTCATCTTCGTTAATTCCGACCTCAAAGCCTCGTTCTCTTTCACCAGAGACACGTCTGCCTGAACTTGAGTCCTTGTCGTGGCAGCGTCTTGGGTGCTCCGGTCGTCCATGCCGCTTCTTAGCTTCAGCTGGTCGTAGTAGAGCGCATGGAGGACTATCTGCACTGGCAATCGCTTGTTCTGGGAGGCGTGTACCCGCGCTTCGTAGGACAGCTTCAATGGATCCATCACACTGCATACCTTCTCCCGTTCGATCTCATCAAGATTGGGGTGTGCCTGAGAATTAATTGATTGATTGATCAAAGAAGATTAGGTAATTGAATGAATACCAAATTAAATGAATAGAGTAATACCTTGAGATAGATATCAATGGCTCGGTATAGATCATCGTCGACCTTTCGTGCGACTTTGGGGATGATATTGGCTATGCCGTTAAATTTTGATATGATGAGTTCGGGATAGGTGGCGATCTCGCCGAGGTAGGCGTCTACGGTCTTGGCCACTCTCTGGAGGGAAACGGAAGCAACGTCCTTGTAATCGCCGGCGTTGAAGACAGCCACGCTCTTCTCCCTTTCCACAAAACCAGAGATTATCCTCCTTACGCTTTCCAGGTCGAAAAGCCTCTCCCCGTCGTAGGTGAATGATAAAACCAGAAGATCGTCTACTGTCACGTGTTCTAGAATCATCGAAATCCTCTTCTCAAGCTCGTTCTTGCAGGGAGATGGGGTTTTAAGGTAAATCGCAGATCGGAGAAGGCAGCAGAGGAAGTGAATAGGGAAAGCGGCTTTCTCAGAGGGCAAAAGACCGACAATCGATTCCAGTAGCTCCCGTTGCCTGCTACTTCCGTCTGATTCACTGAAATCGCCCGATCTGAGTCCACTTCCGGAGTGGTCGCGGACTAGATCCCGTAGCGATCTCTCAGCGTATGTAATCAGAGCACCTGAGAGAGTTAACGTTTTCGCACCACGGTTCTTCATCGCAGCCATGATTTTGCCGAAGAATCCGATGTCAAGAACGGATAGCTCCTCCGTCCACCAATTTGGAGGCGACCGACTCGGATAGTTTGCCTCGTTACAGGCCTAAACATTCCAAAACTCAAATTACTCATGATAAACCAGAGCAGACAACATCACAGAAGCACTCAATGATCAATCGCTACTATTAATTTCAATTACCTTAGAACTAATAACTTCCACACATTTCTGAACAATATAAAGATCTTCAGCCATGGGAAGGAGATGGTAACAAGACTTTAGCACCGCTACCGCTCCAGACAGACTTGAGAGAGCCACCTGTGAGAGGAAATCTTCCGTCCGTCCGGCGAGGTTGTTGTCGCAGTACTTATCCGTCATTTGTAGATACTCCGCAGCACATCGTAGAGCTGCAACGTTGTGTACCGTAATTTCGAAGTTCACACCATAACAGAACTTCGCTGCCTTCTCAAAAATCTCAGCACCGCCAGGAATATCCGTCAGATCGATCCGCGTAAGGTCCGCCTCCGTGGATTCCACAATCAATTTCCGTATAAAGTTACTCTTCGCTACCAACATGAACTACAACGAAAACAGAATCGGAAACTTTCACACGCACGCACATTCACAAATCAAACTGAGAAATCGAAGGAGTTTTCGTTCTCATACCTTGTGAAGAGAAAAATGAGCTTCGCCGACTGCAACCACGACATCCGTCGGAATATCTTGAGAAAAAACCCTGAAAGAAAAGAGTTCAGAATCAGTAAATCTCAAAGCAGCCGCCAGTCCTTGCGAAAGAGATGAACACATACCATTGTCCAGTTCTCTCCATGGCAATGGACAGCCTGGTGTTTCCCTTGACGGAGGAAGAAGCCATGCTTGAGTGGAGGGAGCTCTGTGTCTAAGGTTTTAACTAAATTCTTCTATTAAATGGCCACGCCGTTGGCTACAGTCTTGAGACCCAAATGACAATTATACCCCATCCACTGTTTCAGATCGACGTGGACCAATCAGCTTTAAGTTTAATCATCAACGAGGGAATGAGAAATTCCCTCACTTTTGATTGGACAATTCTGTCGACAATTATAACAATAATATTCCTCATAATTACTCAAAAAAACCTATTTATTTATTTCATTTATAAAATAATATTCATAAATTATATATTTTATCCTCACTCACATCTTTTTAGTAGTTTATGTTTGTAATGGCCCAAATTCACCAGATATTATCTTTGGGCTTCTCAACCAATGTGAGACATCACAATCCATCCCCCTTCGGGACCTAGCGTCCTCACAGACACTCTTCCTTTCTCCAATCGATGTGGGACCCCCGCCAAATCCACCCCTCTTTGGGGCCAGCATCCTTACTGGCACACCGTCTCGTGTCTACCCCTTTGGGGAACAACCTCCTCGCTGGCACTTAGTCCAGTGTCTGGCTCCGATACCATTTGTAATGCTCAAGTTCATCGTTAGTAGATATTGTCCTCTTAGGGCTTTCCCTTTCGGGCTTCCCCTCAACGCTTTAAAACACGTCTGCTAGGGGAAGGTTTCCACACCCTTATAAAGGGTGTCTTGTTCTCCTCCCCAACCAGTGTGGGACATCACACCGTCTCATCATTGAGAGAGGGTTCGAGATTAATTCATCAAATGGATTAACCTTTTACGTAGAAGCAAAATTAAAGCAGTTTTCATCACATACTTAGAGTTCTGATCAAGTTGAGGTCAGATCAACTCCGTGATCAAAAGCAACAAGAGTCGAAGATTGGTGAGAAAATACTATGGACCAGTCGAAGTTATTCACAAGATCGAAAAGGCGTCGTATAGGATCCATTTGCTCCCATAGATGCGGACTAGCCCTGTTGTCCACGTTAGTAACATGAAACGCTACTCTTCCGAAGTAAAAGACGTCAAGTAGAGAGAGGTGACACGACCTCACACAAAGAAGAAGAATCTCGAAGCAAAAGATGTAGGAGAAACTTTGACGGAGGAGATGCCAAAAATCAACAAACCAAGAAAGCAGTTTTCAACAACTCCTTACAGATTTAACGAGACTCCGCAACACTGAAATCAGCTAGAAACACATTGAAGAGACCTAAAAGTCAACCTCAACCTACAATATAGAGTTGTAAAGAATCGGTTGACAGAGACTTCACGGTCATGCTTGTCCAAAGCATGTTGCCTATGACCACATGACAAATGTCCTAGTCTTACTTGTCTAAGTCGATTGATAGAGAGGATGTCACAGTCATGCTTGTCTAAAGCATGTTGCTTATGGCCGCATGACAAATGTCCCAATCTTGCTTGTTCGAGTCAGTTGACAGAGACGTCACCAATTGAGTGGGGAAGGATGTCACGATCATACTTGTCCAAGGCGCTACAGTTGCCCGTTGATGAATGAATAGTTGTTATTCAATGCATTTAATAATATACAATAATGAAATTAATCAGTGGGATCCACCAACTTGAGAATGTCTAAAAAAGAGTAATGTCTTTTATAATAACTTTCGTATTATTAATTATTTTACAAAATTAAATAAATATTGATGAAATTTAATATAAAAAATACAAATATTTTATTTTTAATTAATTTGGGAAAAAAAACTAAATAAAAAAACGTGGGATTTTAAAAAATAAAATATTAATTATTTTAAATTTCACTCTTTTAATCTGGAAAAACGCATAATATGATTTAAATATTTTAAAATAAAAACAAAATCCATAATTAGTCATTTAATAAATAAGATAAAATTATTAAATTTATTTTCAAATTTATTATTTTCTTAACTAAACAATTAGTCATTTAACAAAATAATAATAATAATAATAATAATAATAACTACATAATTAATGTTTTTATTATCAACACAAAATTAAAAAAGAAAAGGAAATAACAGTGGTGGTGAAAGTAAATAAATAGATTAATGATGGTAAAATGGGGTAAAAAAAAAAAATCCACGTAATCATTGTGGGTCCCACTAATTGATTAGGGTTTGACGGTGTTGTAATATTCTTGTGGGTCCCACAAGGTCCTAAGCCAGCTTTGGATTGGATGAGATGGATATGGGCGCCAGCAGACATGATTGCGAGACCCGGCCCATTTTCCGGTCTCCAAAAATTTCTGGACCACAAAAACCAGTGGCTCTCCTTCTTCCACCTATTGGGCCCCCCGCTTCTTGGCCCTTCTTCTGCCACGTCATTTCACCTCTGATTCGACACGCTTTCTCAATCTTACTCACATCTTGTACCGGATAACATGCCGGGCTCCACTCTTTGTGTTATAATCAAATAGTTTTCTCACACGTGGCAGATAATCACCTCACCCCCACCCCCACCATACCATGGTCAAAATTTCCTTTTGACCCGTCGGGTCGGAATCCGTCTCAAATGAAGTAAAAATTTTATAGAAAATGAGGGATAATGTCGGAAGATGTTTCTCTCGGTTCGCTTAATCCGACTGGAAACAGAGATTATATTCTATAATAAGATGTCTATTTAATCTATGGAATCCGGTTCTTCAGTTTTACATAAAAACTCCAAGAATTAGGAGAATGAATATAGGAGTAGGGAGATTTTTTTTTTTTTTTTTTTCTGTTAGCTAAATAGGGCCAGAGATGGAGATCACATTCTCTTGTCCACGTTACCCGTCTATGACCTTCATCCCCTCCACTAACTTTCAATATATTTCTTTTATTTGTTTGTAAATAAATAAATATAGGTGTGAAATATACTTGATAAATAATATATATTTAGGTAAAAATACTATATTATAATATTATAATTCTAATTTTTAAACATTATTTTGTTTATGAAATATTGAATTTATTTTATTTTTTTTATTGTATTTTTAACTGAAATTATATTGAAAATGAAAATTATTCCTCGAATAGTTTTTTAAAAAATACCTAAAATGATTGAAAAATTCGAACTTATGAATTTTCTATAGAGAATTTCCGCTAAAAAATTAAAATAGGAAATAGAGATAGGGACGTGAAAAGCTTTCCCGTCCTCAACCTGCCTTATAGGCTTCTCTAAAAAGAATATTATTGAAAAATTTTCAATAATACTCATAAACTTGTAAAATATATATAATAATAATAATAATAATAAATAAATAAAAATAAAAATTACTATTACTAATAATGTTAAATAAAAATCAACCCTACTTTAATTTTCTTGAAATTGTCAAAACTATATCTTAATGGTCTCGTAACCACGAAAATTTCAACATTTTTTAATTAAAAATTGGATAAACCCTAAGTGAAACCGACCCGATTATCATATAAATAAGTCGTTTTCGATTTTCATGGTTAGAAAAAGTAAATCGGAACCGAACAAAGCCAACGAAGCATATCCATATAAGTAAATCTGAAAACCAAGCAATGAAGCACCATTGTTAAAGCCCCCATGTCTCCCTTTCATGGTCATGAATGGGTTTTGACAATGTGCGAAAGAGACGAGCCACTCTTTTCCTTTCACAATTAATATCAAATAGTTAGCCCAGCCAATGTCCTGAGCTTGATTAGCCAAACCGGCTCATAGAGTGGGACATATGCACGTGGATGATTGAGCCATGTTGGTGCCCACTAGGCAGGCAATAGCCTTTAGTGTTTCATGTCCCACAACCACCTAATCCATCTAACCTTTTTTACTCTTCTTTTTTCTCCTAAACCCCTATTCATACATAATATCGTGTCGTAACGTGCGGTAACGTGCTGCGATTCCTAACCATAGAATCATCGTCTTAATTGAGCGTTTTTTTTTTTTGTTGATTTTATTATTAAGGTTGAGAACTCGAGAACATTTTATTTATAGTAGAGATATCTAGATTTACCTCGCGAGGATACTCAATTTTTTTTTTTTTGCTCGATTTTCTTACTAGGGTTGAAAATTCGAGAGAACGTAGTAGAGATTTCTGTTTTTTTTTTTTTTTTCCTTCGGTTATATCTAGTTTAAGTTACATGTTTAGAATCATTCAAGCTAGACATGATCGATCTTACTTGTGGAGTGATTTGAATCTTAAACAAGTGTTCTAGTTCTTGTCTTGAGATATTCGATTAACAAGATAATCTGAATATTATTTTTTTCGTTCCCCTTGGAACCATCTTTTAATGATCAAAATCTTGTGGTTCACTTGAAGGAAGAAAAAGAAAATCTTGCAAATATCTTTGCCATTTTTCCTTTGTCTCTTTGATCATGATTTTCTCGTTTAGAGTCGTAGTTGGTTGTATTTTCTTTACGAGCTTGATATCAAAAGTTTAGTTCAATAAATTGGTTTCGGGAATTGAGCAAGTTTAAATATTCTAAACTTGACGTGTTTTTAGACTCAAACGCGTCTTTAAACTCGTCAATTGAGCATAACTAAATGATGTTGGAACTACAGACTGTGAATGGGTTCGTCTCTAGCCTCTGAGCCTCCTCTTCCTGATTGGACTGACTCTCAAGGTCGATCTCCTTCGATTTGTGTTTGTGGGCTAGGGTGAATATCATAGACTAATAGATCGGGTGGTTAATAATTGTTCGTGAACAAACGTTGCAGAAGAACCTTTAAAGCTTTCTGGTCATAGAATTGAGAGATATATACTAAATCGAAGCGACTAAAGGAATAATTATTAGTTTTAGAGAAATTTTAATCGTGTTTCGATAATTTTTTCTATAAATTGTTACAATTAAATTTTTGTATAATTTTATTAACATTATTTATTTGAGAATAATTATTAATATTGACGACTAAACATTAATATATTTATTAATAAATGGAAATTAAATTAAAATTGAAGGGCATACTATTATTTTATTAATAAATTATAATAATAATATAAGATTTATATAAATATAAATTATTAAAAAGACTTTATTTATATGAAATTTAATAACATTTCATTTTCAATACCAAACACAATTTTTTTTAATTTGATTTTTTTTTTTGGCCTTTTATTTTGTTTTTATTGATGGGAATCACTTGGAATGCCCAAAAAGGATGGATGACAAGAAGAGATATCTTCCTTTTTCAATTCTAGCCAAATAAATAAATTTACATTTTAATTTTTTTTTTATTAAATTCTCGACTTTTATGACGGTATCATAAATTTCATTTGAAAACCGTTAGTTTCTGTATGTATAGGAAGCGATAAACGGGAAACTCAACTCTACGAACTCGAAGAAATACTTTTATCCATTGAGCGACGACCCTTTCACTCAGCATCGTTGAACGTATAAGCGGATCGACTCATCAAGTCCTCGTTGAAATAGGATCTACACAAGAAAAAAGCACTCGACATTCATTGGTTATTAGGGACATCCCGAAAACGTCGGGTCAAAATATGGCTTTCAAATTCAGTTCCGAATCAGTAGAATTTAGACCGCTTTGGATTGGACTTACATCATAGAGCCAAGTGGGAATAGAACTTTAATTATATAATTAAACCCTAAATTATCATTTCAAATTAATTTAATAGTATAATTATTTTATTTTTATAAAAGAAAAATTAGAATTATCAAATTAGTCCGAATTAAATACAGTAATTTTTACTATCTATTCCTTTTTTCACAATTTAATACAACAAGAAACAAAATAAAAATTTTAATGTAAAAATTAGTTTTATTTGTAAATAATTATTCCGCTCAATACATTATTATAAAATCATTTTAATATAATTTGGTTAATTATAAAAATTAATTTTCGCACGTGTGTGGGTAAAATTCTAGAATCAATTATTTATTATAAAGTAAAAATCGTTGAACCGTTCAATTATTTATTATGAAGATAAATTTGTTGAACCATTCCAGAAAAATACTTAATTAAGTTATTTTTAATCAATATTTCAAAGTTACCCAAATTTATAATTTTTTTAACAATAAAATCAACCTTGTTTAGTTGAATAGTTGTGTTAGATGGAAATTTCGACAATTAGGTTAAATTCCGAGGCTAGGGCTGATTAGGTATCAGTCTAGACCCGAGATGAAATTAGACTCAAATAATTAAGCAAGAGGGCCAAAAAAAAAAAACCCACCTAATAACCGAGCCTAAGTGAGCGGGCTTTGTCTATAACCTAATTATTACTAGTATGATTCACTCTCGAGCTAATTTTATTGAAAAAATAGAGGAAATCTAAATCATCCTAGACTGGGGTGACTTTTATGGAGCGATTTGCTAGCTAATCTTCCGTGGATGATATTCAGATTAGCGACATTGTACTGTCGCACTATAATATTATGAGGTAGCACCTCAACCCAGGACACCGATCATTCATTGTGTAGACGAAACGAGCTACCTAAGTCGATGAATATAAATGTTGGAAAGTTTGTACAGATGCTTAAGGGTAAGATTCAAACTTCTTAGAGCCCGGACATAAATGTTGGAAAGTTTGTACAGATATCTGCTCGAGGCTCGAGATGCTTAGGTAGTAGTAGAGACTAGAGATCCAAACTTCTTAGAGCCCGGACATAAACCCGTGGATACCTAATGGATCAAGAGATGCGATAAGAGCTTACAAGTAGGTTGCTTATGTTTCATGACCATGTCACGAATTCTTTCAACATATTTTATCCGCACTCACATGCTTCGTAGAAAACTACTCGAGCAAAACATGCATGATCCTATACTCAAGATCAGTCTCATTCGACGTTGTTTCGGTTCATTCATATACCTATTCTTTGACTAGAATAAGGTTCGGCTTGAACATGAATGTTTGACCGTGTATAAATTTTATAATTTAATTAGTGAAAATTCAAACGTTATAACAACCAAACATTAAATAAACATGTTTTAAGAATTGACTATTAAACAAATTAACCACTCGCCCTCATGGATAAAAATGTCAACTAAAATTGATAAAAACAAGTGAAATACCCACTTTGACCTTCTAGTTGATATCTTTTATCTTTGTATGACTTTGACGGAGTGCATGAAAAGGATGGGTTTAGTCGTCATCAGCTACGCGTTAAAATTTTGAACTAAAATGTCTACAACTATTGCTTTGGTGATCTGTACATCCACCGCCGCCACCGCCACCACCGCCACCACCACCACCACCACCAGCTACCTTTCCTTCATCGCCTTTTCGTCTTCTGAAACTCCGACGTCTCTTTTCAACTGTTATCTTCCTCTGCAAGCTACTTTTCATCCTCCCTAAATCTTTCAGTGCTTTCACTTAACGCGCACTCCGGGAATGTGTCGAGCACAGGAGTGGGCTTATGCAGCCCTTTTGATCCTGTGCTTCTCGTCGTCCGTGCTACTTGTCGGTGCAGCAAAGCCGGTTACCCGCCCCTCCGAAGGTAATTCTTCTTCTTCTCTCTGGCCTGAATTTTTCGCTATACATTCCGTTCCGGCGCACCAATTTTTTGGTTCATTTCGTGTAAGGCATGTTCTAATGCAATAGATGCTGTATTTTAGTATTTATGGCTAATTCTTCCTACTATGTTGTGGATCCCGGTTCAATTCCCGTCAATTTCTGGATATACAGTCAATTTTTAGTAGAACTCAGAAGCTCACGGACCAATTATGATCTAACACTGTCTCTTCGTTTAAATTTCGATCATCCTTTCTTTTTATTTTCAGTGGACGCTTTGCTCGAGATCAAGAGAAGTTTGTTGGATCCTAATGGGAATTTGAGCAACTGGAACAGAGGAGACCCTTGCATTTCGAAATGGACTGGTGTTCTGTGCTACAGTTCCACATTGGATGATAACTATCTACATGTTGTTGAATTGTATGATTTCTAGTATTTATGGACTCTTATAACCTATGTTGAGACGTATCTGCATCCATACTTTGATACCAGTTCAAAACAACAATTTGTCATTGTTATTATGGACAATCTGAGATTCTTAATTTTATTATACAGCCCCCGACGCAACGTAACTTGGGGCTTGACATGTATATGAAAGGGGTTATTGTGTAATTGATCAACTGCATACTCCAAAATTTTTAATTATTGCCTATCACGGTCATTTGTACTCCTCATTTTTTTGGTCAGTCTCATATATAAGGTGTAGATTATATCTTTCTCCGTATGCCTTTTCATGAACAAGACTTAACGCTCCTCCCTTATGATCCTTTGCAGGCGACTTCTAAATTTGAGTTTATCAGGAAATTTATCACCTGCGCTTGGTCGTTTATCTTACCTGCAAGTTTTGTAAGTAATTAAAGAAGAGTAAATGAAACTTTTATTCAATTAACACTTAATAGGTTGATTTAGAAATGATTCCTCCATATTGTGGGTGCCTTGTGATTTCGTCTCTGCTAATGCAAATTTTTCGTATTTTATGAAAAGGGACTTCATGTGGAATGAGATAACTGGGGGAATACCAGGAGAGATAGGCAATATAACGTCCTTAAAACTGTTGTAAGTCTATCTACTTTCTTGCTGGTTTACTTATTCTCTTTGATAAAGGTTGGCTGATTTTTCTAGAAATACATCATCCTACCTCCATTAGAATTTTCATTATGTTTGTAGTCCACAAATAAGTTTTCGAAGTGTTAGAAAATATAAACCACTTGATGTGTCTGAATATTTATTATTACAACTGAATAGTTGTAATATGAATCTGTCCCTTCCTATTTACTCTATAAGTTGTTTTACAGGCTTCTAAACGGGAACCAGTTGTCAGGTTCATTGCCAGAAAATCTTGGGAATCTTGTACATTTAGACAGAATACAGATTGACCAGAACCATATATCAGGACCAATACCTAAGACATTTGCAAACTTAAAAGCAATAAGGCATTTGTAAGCATGTTTCTGATTCTGACACGAGAACAGTATTCCTGCAACTTCCTTTTCTTCTTATAGGTGTTTTTATTTCTCGTTTGCCCTTTACACTCAGCCACATGAACAACAACTCTATCAGTGGTGAAATCCCATCTGAGCTATCTGAATTGCCCAGTCTTATCCACATGTAAGTTGCTCTCCACCCTCACCACCACCAAACGCATATAATTTTTGATGCAAGCTTGTTTCCTGCAAGTTTGTTGTTTCTTGAGGCATTTCTATTGTACGTTTACACTGTTCTTTTTAATGTAAGAACTATTTAGATGCTTAATACTTTTGGCTAATTACACAAAATTTTACACTTTGCAGACTCCTTGACAATAACAACATATCAGGGAAACTTCCACCCGAGTTGTTTCAATTGCAAAACTTAGAAATACTGTATGCACTCATTTCCTGCGTTCATTCTTCTAACAAGTTTTCTTCTACTATTTTTCCCTGCATTTTTTCTGATGCTAGATACTTTTTTTGAAGAATAAACTAGGATTTCTAGGCACTCAATCTTAGGTTACTTCTGTTAGTATTTCAATCTGTTCCTCCTGGGTATAAAACCATATTCAAACTCATTAATAGGCAACAGCTTCATTTAAGAGAGAACTGTGATAGTATGAATGATATACACTTTGTTCACAAAACCTCTGCCACCTTTGTCTGACGCTAAGATTCAAACTCATCCATTTTCGTCATTTTAGAATCACAATGTGTCCAAGAAAATCTTCTTCTTGCTTTCAGCCTTGGGATCTGTTCTCTTTTAGCTTGCGTGCTTTTGGGAGATGAGCATTGTTTTTGGCTTTGGCTTTTTGCTCGGTCAAATTATGAGCTTCTTTGACGTTTCAGTGTGCTTTTATGGGTGTTGTTGTAGAGTTTGTTGTTATGCTCAAACCAAATAGCCCTAGAAGCAATTAACATGTTAAATTTTTTTTCATAAAATTAGTCAATTCTTCTAGGGGCATAATCTTTAGCACACTTGTCTCTGTTTGCATTTCATGGGGCTTTTTGCCCAAGAGGATGAGTAGGAAGAAGGGTGGATAGGTCTCGGGAAAATGTTCGATCTCTTGTTAGGTTTAGTACTTCTCTTTCGGCATCAGGTTTCAAGGAGTTTTGTAATCTTAGTTATACTTTATTATCTGAATGGCTGTTCATCTTCCTTCCCAGTTTCATTCATATGCTTTTCATTGTAGAATTTATTCTGCACAAGTAATCTTTCTGCATTTCTGCTTTTCAAATAATTTTGAGTTTCTTAAAAGCCTCATTTGATTTACAGTCAACTTGACAACAACAACTTCAGCGGGTCCACAATACCAGATTCGTATGGGGATATGATTACATTGCTGAAATTGTAAGTTATATTTAAATTATTGGTTTCAGTTGGACAATCAAACGGTGGTCACAAACTTGTGTTTTAGTTGTGAACTCGATGTGGTTATTTATATGTTTAAATAACCTAACCAGCTTTCATTAATTAACACACATGCAGGCTAGACGAATCTAATTTCCAATTCAGTTAAAGTTAGAATGATAGGAATGGTGTTACAATAGCCAGCATCCTTAGAACAAGTTAGAAATTTGTGTCTGAGGAGAACTCAATTAACCTGATAGAATCATATATATATATATATATATAAAATAAATAGCATAATTTTGAATTGGTACTTTTATTTACTTAAAAGAGATGTGATTAAGGTGGCAAGTGGAGCTCTATTAAATAGGATGATTCCCAATCATAAAAGGATCTTATTCCGTTTTATAGTTGGCTATCTTATTCTTCAATCATGGGATTATTGTGGTTAAAGAAGCTATATTAAAAAAATGAAGATGTTTGGAATTCTTTTTGATGATATACAGCTAATAATACATTAAGTTAAATGCAATAGAGAAAACCTCACAGAAAGGTAAAACTAATCTATCCTAATCAAATCCCGACTTTTAGTCCTAAAAGATCACCAAACAAAAAGTAAGATAATTTTCAAATGGGCAAAAATGAATTTATACCCCTAAACTTTGAGTGGTATATCAATTAAAATACCAAACTAAAAACTGTATTAATTTAAACTCTCAACTTTTGCAAGTGAACCAATTTATTTTGAACAAGAAACGAAACTTTTCATGGATGAAATGAAAAGAAACTAATGCTCAAAAGACACGAACTTAAAGGGAGTGAAAAAGAAAATAACAGAACTTACAAAGGAAAATTAAATGCATCCCAACTCAAGTAAATATCCGGTAAAGAAAAAATATCAACAAGCTTGGAGAGAGAGACACCATGAAGAAACTTTCGTTCTTTTGGAATTCAACTGATCACACCAAGGAAGTTGTTTGTTTTAGAAAAATCTCAAAATTTTCTCCATCCACAATTCCGAATGAAGAGACTTGATCACATTCATCCATAAAAGACGAGGTTTAATCTTGAAATAAGGCCTGATGATAATCAGTTGAAGGTTATCTTTCAAGATATATGAATACGAGTAAACTGAACAACTTTATTGAATATGAGCACCCAATGAATAACTTGTATCAACTTTAATCCAAGAAATATGTAATAACTTGAACAGTTTGTACCAACACTAAAATGAATATGAGCACTCAAAAAATATATGATTAAGGTAATCCCTGTTCTTACAACAAATGGGGCAAACCGAGTACAAAAAAAGGAAGTTTCCTTTGCAAGATCTCTGATGTATTAAGTCTACCATTTAATAAAATCCAAAGAAAAAGGTTGGATTATTGGAGTCACCATAACCCCTTTAGATTATTGGAGTTCCAATTCTTTTGAAGCCATTGGAGTGTATTTTGGAGGTTTAGTGAGTGTTTCTCCTGATACGCTTAGCTTGATTAATTTTCCTAAAGCTCGAATTAAGGTCTGACATGCTTTATGTGGTTTTATGTGGTTTCTTGCCAGCTACCATTGAAATGAAAGACAAATTTTAGAAACTATTTTTCCTCATTTTAGGGATGCACCGGATTCTCATAATATTATTCACTCTCCTTCTCCTAATATTAACCATCAAATCTAGAACTTCTTTCTATTTCCAGGCATCCGTTAATTGGTTTGAAGTGTTTTCATTCAAAGCCAGAGGCTAATCAGTCCAGGGTGTTTTCGACTGTTGAAATCGTGATGAATTTTTTAATAACAATACTAATGTTTTGAGTATCCTCGTATGAGGAGTGTGGAAGGAAAAGAAGGAAGAAACGATTTTGTGGTGCAGCTTCCTATATGCTTTTTTCTAAAATCTTTGGCTAGAAAGGAATGCTTATATCTTCACAGATATTCTTTATTGAGTCTACTTCTAACATTGCTTTATCTTGGAGTCATCTTTTGCCTCCTTTTTGTAATTATAGTTTATCTACCCCACTATCTCAATGGAGATGTGTTTTGTGATTATCTCATACCGGACTATCTTTTTTTTTTTTTTTCTATTTCATACATCATTGTAATGGTTTCTCTTTCCTATAAAAAAAACAGAGGAGGTTTGTGGAAAGTTTGGTGTGAACAGCCCATTGGTTTCAAAGGAGCAAAAAGTTACCGAGTGTGAGAATGTGACTTTAATTTCGGGTCTCGTGCTTGAGAAAGGGATTATTTCTGCCTCAGAATTTTTTTCCCAAGACAACGATAATTGAGGAATTAGAATGTAATGTTCAATTTTACATTAAGACAAGGAAAGCTAATGAGGAATTAGGAATTGTGCAAGAGAAAGGGACTTTAAATGATGATGTCTTGCATGAAAAGGGAATTTATTCAAACTCTGTTCTACCTCCCAAGACCTTGATTATTGAGGAATTAGAAGTTAATGCCCAAACTGATATTAATACAGGGTTTATAGTAACTGTCGTTTCCAAGGAATCTTTTTTAAATGAAGATATTCTCTTATTAAATCAGGTCTCCTTGATTCCTCAGTAGCCTTCTGAAAATCCAGAACATTCTTTGACAAGTTCTGATGCTTTAAATCAGAATCGGCCAAACCTTATGACTTCGACAGTTAGGTTTGATGAATCAAGAAATGGTGGCAAATTCAAGAAATTTTGCGGAGATTGAATTAAATGAGCCGATCAATGATCCCAATGATTGTATTGGCAGATCTGCTGACAAGCTAGGTATTCTGAGTGTGAAGGCAGTGAAGGATAATTTTATGGTTGCATTTTCAAAATCTTATACAAGGATAAATCCACATGACCCCTCATCCTCCAAAGTTCAAGATATATCTACTTTTAATAAAGATGTCATTGAAGAGGCTGCTAGATGTATTTTGATATCAGTTCATCAGCAAGAAAATGTTCAAATAAGTAGAGCAATTGATTCGTCTCTGTCAGTTATTCTTAAATGTCATATTGGTACTGGAGGTTTGGAATTTGTGCAAACTTAGGTACAGCCAAATGATATTATCTGTTCAGATCCATAAATTGACTCTGATTGATGATTCAGTGGTGAGTGTGAGCAGTGTTTTGTTAGATATCCAGCCTCTAAATAACTCTTCAAATGATGCTTTAAATGAAGACCGGTTTGCCCCAAAGTAAACCATCTGTTTCAGGATTCAGAAAAGACTCATTCAATTCCCAATGCACAGCAAATTCCCTTCTCTTATTGAGCTTAGCGGTCTTCAAATGTGCGAAATTCATTTGCTTATCTCTCAAAGGAATTGATAATTATTGTTTGCAGTGAAATTTCTTGTGATTCAATGAAGATTTTATCTTGGAATGCTAGAGGTTTGGGGGATGCCTAAAAAGGAACTAGTGTGAAGAAATTTAAGCATAATCTTTGCTCGGATGTTGTCCTCATACAAGAAGAAACAAAGACGGGGTCTTTCAACCAAAGTTTCATTAAGTCAATGTGGAGCTCTAATGAGATCAACTGAGTGCATATTGAATCTTTTGGTAGATCTGGAGGTATGCTTATTATGTGGGATGAAAGCTAGGGAAGGTCTTGGAAGTTCTTAAAGGAGGATACACACTGTCACTCAGAATATCTTTTCAAAATGAGAAGAGGTGTTGGATCTCAAATGTGTGGACCTAATGATTATCGGGAAAGGAAGCATTTGTAGAGTGAATGGAGTTCTTTTTATACATATTGTGACATTCCTTGGTGTACGGTGGGGACTTAAATATTACATGTTGGATCCATGAGAGTGTACAGGTGGAAGATAAACTAAAGGTATGCGGTTTTTCAATAAATTTATTGAAAAATCTGGAGTTTACTTGGTCGAGACTTGGTGATGATAATCTTAAAGCTTTGCTGGACCGTTTCTTTGTTTCTAAAGCTTGGGAATAAGATTTTTGATGGCACAAGGGCTTTAAAATGTGTCTTTTTGGATTATTTTCTGATACTCTTGGAAGTCGGTAGTTTTGTTTGGGTCCATTTCAGTTTTTCAATTCCTAGATGAGCATGTCTGATTGTGTTAGCGTTATATATTTTTTATAAGAGATAATATCATTGATGTTTGAAATTTACCAAAGGGTTGTGTTATCCATGATGCCTACAAAACAACTTCCCAATTTACAATGAGGGAGGTATGACTATAGGAAGTAAAAGCATTAGACAATTTAATGAGGTCTCTGTCTTCTCTATGAATATTCTTTGATTTCTTTCCTTCCATAGATTCCAAAAGAAAGCTGTAATGAGGTTTGTCCATAGTAGAGCTTTTGCACTCTTGCAGAGGTGGTACGTTAAAGTCATATTCAGTTTGTGTGTAACTAATGGCTGAAATGAAACATGTGGTAGTATTTAATATAGTTCCTCTTTCATCAAAAATCATGGAGCATAAGTTAAGTGACTCCAATTATTATGATTGCAGTCAGACGATTCGGTTTTATCTTATGAAGTACTAAGATGGATGATAACATTAATTAGGATATGCTTGAAGATGACACAAAGAAGGCTTGGCTTCACGATGATGCTCGATTGTACATTCAAATCAATAATTCAAGAAACAAAATGTGGTTTTAAATGGAGCAAGACTAAATTATATTTGCAACAAGCTAGACATGGTTGACGTATTTGCTTCATCTCCATCTCGATGGGTAGTGTTATAATATATATGTTATTATGTATGGTTGTTCTTTATTTTAATTGTACATTCTTTACACAACTATTAAGCTCGTCACTAGAGTTACTGTGCTGTAACAATAGCCATACGTTTAGTGAAGACTAAATATTTAAAAATCAATCCGCCCGTTTTCCTACATCTGATGTATGATATGTACCAAAACCTTGTATGTATACTTGTGTATAAGCTTTATATGCTCTTATATTTGAAATAGCAGTTTGGACATGTACTATTTTTTATAAAACAATGCATTGGTTGTCTTTGTGATTGATTTTGCGCAGGAGTCTAAGGAACTGTAGTTTGCAAGGACCAATTCCTAATCTGAGCAGGATAAAGAACCTGGGTTATCTGTAAGTCTAAATTAGGTTTATTGAGATTGCAACATCTGGGCTATGCTGGCTTCATGATTATAAATTTGTGCATTCCTTCAAAATTGACCCTAGTTTGTGTTCTTTTCTGTTTCTTCGTATTTCAGGGATCTAAGTAACAATCAACTAAGTGGATTCATACCACGAGACAAGTTTTCTGAGAATATTACTACCATGTAAGAGTCTCATCTTTTGCAAATACAATTTCAGTGTTTGATTAAAGAACTTTAAGATTAAAACCTGCCATAAAAATATGATGTTGAATGGTATGTTTGACATTTTCTTGTCTTTACATTAAATGCAGCATTTTATCAGACAATCGTCTTACTGGCACCATACCATCCAGTCTTTCGGATCTACCACTTCTTCAGAAATTGTGAGTGAATTTTTTTAACCAATTCTTTGTTGTTGGGTGGTGGTGCTGGATTTAGCTTGATAGCGTATATCATGTTTGTACATTTCCGAGAAGACAAACGTAATGTTATAGGGAACCTAATTATACAGAGAATGACAGAAAAAGGTTACAAAAGTCAAACATAAATGACAACTTTTACGTATGGAATTAGACCTGCATAATGATGTATGGGTGTCATTTTTTTGGTATGAGTTGGTTTTTTTAAATAAACATGAAACTTTTCATTAATATAATGAAAAAGATTAATTCTCAAAGGATACGACATTCATAAGGGAGGGTAGACAACAATTAAAGAACAGTATAAAAAAACTACAATGGAAAGATAAAAGTATTCCAATTAAGGCATAACTCCTGAATAGAGCATGCAGCAAAAATTTAGAAAGTGAGCGAAGCTTTGAGACGAGCCAAGTCATAACAGCGATCTAACCAAGAAAGTTGCTTGTTATGAAATGGCTAGACAATTAGGTTAGCTTACCCTGCAACGACCCAGTTTGAATGACCAGCAACAAAAGTATGAGACAGAAACCAGTACAGGGAAGAGAGGCAGGAACAACTTGCTCCTTGAGCAAGATTACCTCAGGAACAAAGAAGGCTCCATTTCGACACTGGCAGGAATTTTATCCCTTACCAACACCAGCATCAAAAACCAGCTTTTGGATGACATACAATCCAAGAACCTGTCTCTTCAAGTGAGGGAGGATACTACCCCCAACATTAAGGAAATTTTCAACCTTGAGATGCAGAATTCCAACAAAACTGACGACAGGGTGAAAAATTTCATCAACACCACCAACAAGAAAACCAAGACTATCGGATGGAGATCGACCTCCCTAGTTATAATGGAAAATGGATATTGAAGGCATTCTTGATTAGATAAATTTTTTTAGAACATATTCGATTATGAATACTCTGGAGGAAAAGAATAACTTGTAGCAGCATTGAAGGAGGTATGGAAAGAGAACTATTTGAACATGGCACCACATGCAAAAGTTGGTGCATGAAAGATACCTGCCTACCAGCAGCTACTCTACTATCCGTAACACCATTGTAAACAAGTAATAATGTTATTGATGGACTACATTGAAGAATTGCCAAGTGCAAGAAATGATCTAGTTGGTAGAGAGCATGAACCAATCGCTCGATATGTGGTTGGCTTATGATAGGATATTTAATTTAAGGTTAATCTCCAAGGTATACTACATTTAAGTGATGTGGTTACCCGATGTGACCCTCGGTTAAGCAATCTATGGGAAAAAAACAATTGGGTGTGATTGTACATGTTTTAGTTTAGGTTTTTTTTTTTTTTTTTTTTTTTTTTTTTTTTTTTTTTTTTTTTTTTTTTTTTTTTTTTT